TTTCAATACTATTGAAAAAGTAAAGAAGGGAAGGGATCAAGCAAAACTAAATTATCTCAACAGGAAAATGCACAAAGTTACCGATAAAGTTTAATGAAAGAGGGCAGCCAATTTGTAAAGGTTTGGATAAGTTATCTTCGTTCCTTGGGACCTCAGGTAGAGAACTTATATCAAGTACAAAGAAAAATTGAAAAGATTTAAATGGAAGTTTTCGTGATGACATATGGGAAATGTGCATGTGATGCAACTTCGCGTCAAGTATGTCTTTGATATTAAATTAATAATTATCTTGTATTCGTTTGATGCAGCAAAAGTTTGATTTTGACACTTTTCATAGAAAATACATTATGCAAAAATTGGGAAAGCATTGGCGAGATCATGGCATGACACAAGCCGCAAGTCTCTTCAAGCCCAATAATGTTGACTCAATGAAAGAACGGCAAGCATTTGTCAAAGATCATAATTCTCAACCATATAAGCTAATCTTCTACATTTTGTCTCCTCTGTTTCATCATTTATTAATGTTTTTCAGTAGACACAACTCTCAAAAGCCTTGTCTCACTAATTTATTTTATTGAAATTGATATTCTATAATATTTTACAATTTTATACAGCAACTTATTGGTTTTACACGAAAAGGATGACAAATTCAAAAAGATGATGCCTAGTTAAACTCTAATGCATACAACAAGTAGACAGAGCTTTGCTCGCTTAGAAGTTGAAATGATTAAAAAAAGGGGATTGCTTGGTGTACATAACTTTTTGTAAATCAAGGTGTCCCACACTCACATGGGGTGGGACCCGTTCAAATATTTTATTCGAGTGGGCCCTATTCGAGAGAGTCCACCCCATGTGAGTGTATGGATACCTTGATATACAAAAAATTATGTACAATTAGTGTTATCCTAAAAAAAAATGTTAAACTAGAAGTTAAATTTCCTTGAAAATTTGTAAATTGTACAAATTATCATGTATATGACCATAAGAGGGAAAAAAAAAATTGCAGCATGATGAACGTGAAGACCATGATTCCATAATAAGAGACAATGTTTATATTCGAGGACATATGCAGAAAAATAGTGATGTAATTAACAAATCGGTTGGAGAAACATTGGTAACACTATTGCTTTTTATATATTTTTGTAATTCAATGATTACATTTGTATCACTTTAAACCATTATCTTACCTAATTTCATAAAAAGAAAGAAAAAAATATATTTAGAAATTTTTACCTCTCGAAATAAGTAGTACTTGGTACAGAACTTCGAGGACGCATAAGAGGGCTTGACTTCGGTGCAAGTCCTTCAAAATTGAATGCTTTGGGAAAAAAACATTACAAAATATTATAAGTGGAAAAAAAAAACATTAGTAAATGTTATACTACATTACATATTATTTACCATTTACAAAATAACAGACTCTACAATTTGATATGAATTTCACTGCATAGAGACAAAAGCTTGAATGGTTTAGATAAACTTCGAAGCAAGACATGCAAATTGTTACGTTAGTTTGGGAAAGACACCAACAAATTCAAGTGATCTAGAACTTCATGTACCCCTTGGTAATGAATATTGGAGAGTTTGAGTTATTGAAGCGATTGATAATGTCCCCTTATATCGCCTTATGCGTGCATTTTCTTCTTGAAGATGCATTAGGAAGTACAATTACAAGGCCAATTAGGTATATTAAAGTGGATTAGTTGTAATCACGATCAGAGCTTGGGTCTTCGGCTCCCCTGTCATCAGGTTACCAGTTCCCTTGACTTTCTAGCACTGGGTAAGGGAATTTTACCTGCACAAGTTGGCAATCTTTTTTGCCTTTTGTTTGGGTAGTCCTCAATTAAGTGGAGAAATCTGGTTTTCAATAATCTAAAAGTTATCAAGTTATTAGCATATGACATACTGCAAAGCCTAATGAAATATGTTTGGTGATCAAAGTTGCCAATTTAGCAGGCTATCATGGCCATTAGGTACTGTTGCATAAAACCAGTAGCTCTTGTTCAAGTCATGTTCGAATTTAATGTTCCAATTGATTACGATATTTTTGTGATGTGCAATGAGTTGATTATTTTTGGATAGCTAAACTGCTGATTAAATAAGCAAACTCGTTGATATATGGACTGATTATTTTGTAATTTATTAATTAGTTATTTTAGAATGATATGTACTTTTAGCATATTCGTATCAACCTTTTGGTAAGCCAATGATGTTCTTCGTTATTTATATAATTTCTACTTTTGTGTGTGTGTTATTTATATAAGTTCTACTTGTGTGTGTGTGTGTGTGTGTGTATACATTGGGTTAACTTTAATTATTATAGATTTAATGACATACATACGGGTAATCAAATAAATAAATAAATAAATAAAGCTACTATATTTTTGTTAACAACCATTATTAACGGAGTGCAAATGTTATCTGTAAAATAAAAGAATAAGCTCAATCTTATGGCAGCCGATGTATGCCGAAAATGGAGATCTATTTAAGGCATGCATATAAAAGTTCAGGTGCGGATTCAAGGACGGGCAGGCCAGTGCTATAGCCCGTCCGTCCTCCCCAAATCACCTTTTAAAAAAAAAAATTAGTAAAATTTTTCTTTTTTTTTATGTGTAAATTTTTCTTTTTTGCTGTATTAGCCTGTGTTCATGCCAGAAACTGAATCCGCCAATGGGAAAGTTGTAATAAAGTAATTAACGGAGCTCTTTCATTATTGTTACATCATAATGTATGCCATTAAAAAAGATGAGTATTCATGGCATTGCTTTATACAGCGAGCAACTGTACACCGTAAAAATTATTTTACAGTATGTAATACATGCTGCAAAAGCAAACTGTGTAATCAATACTTTGAGGCTTGTGGATAAATTTAACATTATATTGGCCGCAACAACAGAAGTCTTTGTGTAATGAAATGGAAAGGCAAATAGCTGGTATGGATTCGATACATGAAACTTGCAGTCAGAACTGCCCACCCTTCATTTCTCCGCCTTTCCTCCGAAAATAGTTAAAACCTTTCGCTGTACTATGAGACATCCAGAATTGGAATTCACTATTGATTGATTTCCAATCGGCTTCTGCCAAGCTATACAATGATTGTAACGTGTGTATGCTTACTGTCCCGTGCTTGTCCACTGTCAGGTAGCTTTATTTGAGCATTTGTTCATATAGTTTCTGAAACTGTTTTCCAGAGAGAATTAATGTCAGACTAATGCTGTGAGTGTGTGTTTGCAAAAAATATAGCATGGCTACATTGTCCATATTTAGTGTGTATATGACACATAATAAGATATTGCATTGCTAATACAACAGAGAAAGAATTAACTGTTGGAATATGCGGAGCCTTATTGTAATTTTCACTTCTCCCCTTCACCGCGAATGGACCAAGTTTATATCAACTTGGACTATTTATAATTGGGGTGTATTTGGCATTCATATATGTCAATGATTCTGGCACTGTAGCATGATCGTTGTACTAATTCCCTAGTTTCCGATGATAGAATTAGGAACTAAGGAAGGCCTTTTCTGTATGTGAAAAAACAGAGACGTGTTAAATCTCCTATTTTATAATCTCTTATTATTTGATTATAGAGAAAATCTGCAGCAGCAAGTAGACGTACCCTAAATCTGTGTTTTTGTTTGTGCCTTTTTGTTTTGTTTTGTTCAGTATTTCTTTCTTTGCTGAATTTAGAATTTTAGTGCCCGTTTGGTAAAGCTTAAATAGTTACTGAAAAGTTGAGGTCAAAGTTAACGATTAATTTTAATTACCATTAACGTTTTTCAAACTCACATTTCGTCAACTTTTATCAAAATTTGCTAAGTTTTTATCTAAAGCTTTGTCAAACAACCTCTTAAACCACAACATAAAGTGTGAACAATCTGTGTTACCTATGGTAATCATCAGATGATCCCCACATAGTTTCCCAGACGTAATATGCAATATATTTTCCAAACAAATAATTTTTATTCATTTAGATTGTAGATGGCCAGCCGTCTAAGTGTCAATTAAATGGTATTGAGTGATTGGATCTCAAATTTAAGGATAATGGTCCACTTTAGATGTCCAATCTGAATCAGAATATTTGAATTACTCTATTAATTTTTGTATATCAATTTCAATTTATTCACCTTAATTATGTTCTAAATGCATAGGACTAATGTGAGATTTCTTGAGCTCAATATATACAAGTGTTATTCAGTGAAATAACTCGAATCTCAAACCACATTCTCAACAGCTTTCGACGTCTCACCCTAGCCCGCAACTGGTTTCTCCTTGGTCATCTATCATACTAAACTAAGAAGGGTCGAGAGAGACTCCCCACACGAAGAAAGGAGCAAGCTACTGAGAGGAAACGAGTGGGAATCGGAACGGAAGCAATGAGGCCGTAAGGCCCCTACTTTCACCTTTTGGCATGGGAAAGGGGAATCAAAGAGAACCGAAGAAGGTAGTAAAGAAGTTCGCAAGCAAGGTGTTTCCCAGGTGAGCCAAGAGGTTCAGCAGAGGCTAGATAGAAGGTTGCTCATCCGGCCCAGCAGATCCATTGTTTATGCACTGGTATGCACGTTTCTTCCAATGTTCCTGAATTAGGATCATAATATCTATGCGGCAAATGAATGTTACTTCTGCAATGGAAGGCCTGAAACAGCTTTGCATGTTCTCTGTAAATAGGACTTCTCCCTCTTAAAGAGAGTAGTTAACCAGCTCTATCATTTCTCCTAGAAAAGGTTCTCCTAGCGGAAGTACTCTTCCAATGAAGTGGTAAGATAATCAGTAATCGTATGTTAATAGATTTGGATGAATCAGTGAACTAGGATAAGACGATCTTTTGCGATTTTCCTTGTAGAGTCGACAATGAGTGCTAAGTTAAATGTCCAAGGTTGACCCAAGCGAAGGTAGTGCATTAGAGGCCTAAATTTAGACTAAAAATCCTGAGAAGAACTTGAGATGAAACAGAAGAATTTGAATAAGCTAAATCGAAAACCAACACAACACGACACGACACGACAAGAACTGATTGATAAGTTTTCTAAATATCAACAATTTTCTTTCATATAATTGAGACTTACTTCTGTCCCAAATTTCACAAACTTCTAAAGAATATTAACACAGAAATCTTCAAAACAAATAACAGATTGATTGAGGAAATAAGAACATGAATAGTTGAAATAAACATAACATGCGACACCAGACAATATCCGAACTTTTTTTTGTTCTTTAATCGTGTCTCGTGTCATCTCATCCTGCCTATCGAGCATGAACTAATTTTCATGCACCAGTCACACATGAGAACATTCTGAGGCTCCTGAACCTCACAAGTTGCTTGGACTTAACAGAATCCTCCGAGGCGGCAGAATAATCAACATGAATGGAGTGGTTGCGCCGGTGGTGGTGCCCTCCGCCGCCATCCGCACGAAAATCTGAAATCTTTTCAGGTTCTGGCAAGCCGCCATACTCATATTGTTTGCTGTAATAACTATAATCATTTGTGTAAAAATCTGCAATATTGTACTGAGATTTATCGGTTGCACCAGAAGACAGACATTTGTATTGCTTTCTAATTCGATTTTTCTTGATGCTTTTGAATACCATTGGAATTAGGCCTTCCATTTTCTCCTCGTCTTGCTCAAGATTTTGAGAGATGAAACAAACGAATTATATTTGAAGACTTTTCAGTCCCTTTTGGATTTGGTGAGAATTATCAATCAAGTTGTTTTCTTTGGCACAAATTTCCTTTTACTATTAAAAGATTTGGAAGCATTGAACAAGTCACGTTTAATTATTCATTTATTTGACTTGAATACTAGTTCAAGAAATACAAGCATATGCACTATTGATCCCTTTGCCATCTTTTCATCCTCAGTGCATGTTTAACAACTTTAAGTCCTGTTTGGCCTCATTTCTTAAAATTCTTTTTTTTCTTTTCTTTTTTTTTTCCATACAGATGTTTGATAAGTTAAGCCCATGTTTGGCCCATTTCTTAAAACTCTTTTCTTTTTTTCTTTTTTTCATTTTCAATCGTACATTTTACTGGACCTATAACTTTTTAGTTACACGTTTCATAGACGTTTATCAAAATACTAAAAATTTAACTTTTATCCAAAGCAAACACGGGTTTAATTAGACAGTATTTGACTCTATTAGATAAGAACAAGAAATCAAAATCTCGATCAATACTATGCACTAAACATAGACCTTATGTCTTTTAATTTAGTTATAGAAAATTCTTTTTGTGTAAGTTTTAGCTAATCTAGCGAAACTCTTCGAACAAGATACGATCAAAATCATGCTTGACAATCATAACAACTTGAAAAACTTGCTTTTGAATCAAATGTCATAAACATTATAGATACTGTTTACGACAATTGGTACGTTATTACTTATGGATAAAATTCTAAGACGACTAGAAGCCCTCGAGAAAGTCTTCTTAATCATCTCTATTTTGTTTTGTTCATGAAATTTACTTTTCTTACAAGTAATATGATACCAATCGCAGGTTAGCAGCCCCCATTGAGTGGATTCTGACTAAGACAGGAAAATGTTGTGTTGAAAATGTTAGAGTGACAAATAAAATATAATGGTTTTGAGTGTTACTAGAAATTTATACCACTGTTGGTGAAATTAAAAATCATAAAATAAAATAATTATATATAATATGTGAGACATAACTTGCTCATTTATTCTTCTTATTTTAAATGAAAATAGATAATATTATCTTTTCTTTTTTATTTGGTCATACTTTGTTGGTATCTTCAATTTGCCTTTTTAATATTTTCTTGGTTATCATATGGTATTTTTGTCAATAAAATGTTTTAAATGGAAGTCTTCTCTGTCATTTTCAAGAATACCTCAGTGGAGGAAGCAAGAACTATTAAGAACTAATTAAAATGGGTTATATTTCAAGTTAAACAAACGTGATCCAGGGGATACTTGCTAGATACGACGATCGTATACTATATTATGAAAAATGTGTAACATTTGTTGTCTAGCATTATATATAAATTTCATCCATATACTTCATGTAAAAAATTTAGAACGAACAAAGATCATCAGTTCTAGTATCGTTGTCAAATGTTTAAATGATGTTAGGTTTCATGAGGCCCAGACTGTATTGAAGACATTGTTTACATATCGAGTGTTTTCGATTATCACATTTTTCTTCAAATAGTCGAGCATTCTAATGAGTATAATTTTTTAAACTTCAGAAAATGATAGTAATTATAATTCATGAATTTGATAAAAATAATATATCTTTAAAGAATTTTCGACATCAACAATGACTTCCAAATAAAAGGTGGTTTGTACATTGAATGTTAGCAAATAAAAGTCTAAATCTTTAGCATTTTTCTAGTCTACCTAATCCACCTTTAAGCCAATTGTAATAACCAGAGTAAACAATTAAGAAAGGGCGGGCCCAAAAAAGAATGGGGGAAAAAAACACCCCACGTCATCCCACAACATAGAGATTTAGCTAAGTTAGGCTAATGTTTATATATATAAAAAATAAAAAAATAAAAAAAAACACACACACAAAAGAAAAAGAAAATCCACAAATAATATCGACTTATTCATCACTATTTCTATCTATTTATAGTTTAAACGATTCATTCCTTGTGGATGATGTGATAAATTGCTTTTTTGGCATTGAATTAATTTTTTTAACTTTCACAGGGTCGTCGAAAATTGCAAAAATGCTACTCGATGTGGACAAGAAATGCCATTGGGTTTCTGAAGTTAGCAAGCTAACCAATGTTTAATGTCAAACAAGTGTCATGTCACACATTTTGTCAGCTACATAAGACAGATTGGCCCAATAGTCTAAATGAAACGAAAAGCATAAGTTTGCACTATTAATTGAAACAAATTAAAGTTGAGTGATTAAGATGAAACAAATACATAAATCGAGATGAACTCCAGCAACATTTTCTCTAAAGAAAATAATTCTTTCAACAGAATGACTAGATTGTAATCCAAAATCATTCCGTTCCTCAAGCTCTACGTGTTGAGGATAAATCTCACGTCAACTCAATATCATAATATAACCAACACATAAGAGCTTGGATTACTTGTCTTAACGATATTAAACTTTTAAGATCGAACCTCAAGATTCAATAACCCCACCTCAGCATCATTTGTTTTTGAACATATTCCTTGATTTGGACTTAGGACTGGGGAATTATATCCTACAATTGTCCTAACTTGAAAGTGACTTGCAATAGGCACAACTGGCTGACAAATTTGGCCTACTAACTTATTCATTATTTCATTTAATGTATTCAGTTGTTTAACGATATTGTCATAATGTGCATTCCCATTCTGGGTAAATCTTTCCATATTATGAACATTTTTTTAGATTTATCTGTTCAACGATATCCTGTGTGAGTTCTCCAAGCAATGCACGCATGTTCGAGGACTCAACTCTGTCATTGGTTCGTAACGACTGTGACTGCTCTGACTCTGTCCCTCTATTCGTGGAGAGCTTTGCTGCTCCTCAAATCGCTCGATCACAGACTGGACTCCTCCCTGACTTGCTGCTTCCTTATCAGATTTGTGAGGCATATTGTTTCACTTTTTGTATCCTCAACACCAAACACCAAGGTCCCACTGAGCGTGCCAAATTGATTCGCGCGGGTAGTCTCTAACAATTAAAAAATGGATCAGACGATTGTGTAAGGAACGGACCTCTTGAGACAATGTCCCAAAAAGGGGTGTTTTATTAGCGATAATTTACAATTGAAAATAAACAGAATGCCTCCAAGAGGCGCAAGCACACGAGTACTAAAAGAAGTGTTTAAATTTAAGCTAAGAAATTAAAATTACATATTCTCTATTTGAGAGTGTTTGATTCCCTTTTTATCTATATCTTCTCTTTCTTTTTATATTCCCTTGATGATTTTCTCATGACAAACCGCTTGGAAACTGCTTGATTACTTTATAACTACTCACTTTCTTTATGATGGCTAACTTGTCGCGGAACTGCTGTCTCTAACTGCTGTCATTACTCTTTGTCGTTCAACCGCCTTCAACTGGGCTCCTTGAATCGTGGAATGTGATAAAATTACTCAATAACTGCTATTCTGGATAACCATAATATTTTATATTTGCTAAGATCCTGGACGACTCGAAAGTTTGGGCGAGAACGGAGTCATCACTCTGAGCGACCGTAAGGCACTCCATTCGCTTAGATTCTGAACGTCTTACAAGTTTGGGCGATGATATTACTATGTTCGTAGGCTTCCACTGCATTTATCAATAATCCTGTTTGGACCTTTATCCTGGACTCCCCAATTGGACTTTACTCTTTGGGCTATTTGATTTGGGCTACACTTTTAGTGTGTCAACAGATTCTTCTCATCTTAGATTAGACAACATAGAAAGCAATTTACTCACATAATTTGTTTTGAACATGTCTCCGTCTGAAACTATTTTCATCTCAAGCCAAGCAGTGATTTTGGTCCCTCTTGACAAGAAAAAAGCAGTATGCTTTTCCATGTTACATAATTATGTTTTGACAAGGTTTTAAGAATTGATATTCGATATTAGACATTGGGTACAGATTAGATCCTCCTCTTCAACCAACAACAAACTAAAGCACGTGTACGCAAGCCTTAGCTTGTGCGTGCGTGCTTGTACATACATGCAAATCCTTGTACAAAATGCCATTGAACCTTCAATCAGAATTTAAGTAATGGGTACTTTTTAAAACTGCTGTCATTTTAATTGTTACACAAATCTTCGTGTCATGTTAAAAACGAAGAAAGTGTGGAGTCAGGAACGGTAATGATTCGTTTAATGACAATTATTCTTCGTTATTAACTGACAACATCGAACTCAATACATCCAAGTTTTCCTCAGAGATTCATGAATATAGTTATCTGTTTCAACCACATTTAGCTCAATAATATGCTATAATTAAACAATTGCTACCACTTCAACATGTCATGTACGATGAGTTCTCTTGTACCTTGGTGATCTCATAGAATCAACGATTTGCTCAGGAGATTACCACGCAGCATTTTTTCACCTGGGTTCAGGTTTCTTCCACTTTGTAATATACCTTCGACTGACATCAAAGATGCAGCTCAGAACAAGATCTGGCTGGCACCATCCAGTGCTTTCTGCAATGAACAAGACCTAACATAATATATATTAGGTACTTCATTAAAAAAGGGATATAGAATACTGAAGCAAATAGTAACTTCTAAAAATATCTCCAACTTAAACTGGATTACCTTTATTAGCAGAACATTACGGTCACAATAATAAGCTACAAAGCACTAAACTACTCATTGACATACGAGTCACTCGAACAACCACAGAAAATAAAAAGAAAATAAAAACCTTTTGCAATAAAGATAGCTGATCGATCCTTCAATTTCCTTTTCTTTGTCCTTGAATTATACTTCAGTTTAATATACACAAGACTTGCAGAGTATGAATGTGGTGATAAATAGTTTTGTCCATTAAAGTTCCAACACGAAGTGGCAGTAACTTTGCAGGTAAAAATAAAAATGCAAGCTTGAATAATCAATTGAAGCAACAAATACAACAATCTAAAAAATTATTTCTAGGTTTTTTCTTTAGTAGAAGAAATGCTGCAGAATATGGAATTTAATAGCAGGTATTATCGTTGCTGACAAAAAAGTATATTTAATTGGATATTCACTTATTAGTCGTTCTTACTTGATGTGCTTTAAAGAACTTGTAAGTACAATGTATTATAAATTGTGCACGTTGTGGTTTCATAGTTAAATGCCTCCTCCTTGCTATAGTAATTTGCTCATAAATTCAGCATTTTTCATTTTCTAAATCATTTAAACCCAACTTAAGAAGTCATTTTTTCTTTTAAACATATGGTACAATTTCTAGAAATTATTCGATCTTTCCTGGAGTTAGAAACTTTTTGAGATCAATATATTGGTTAGTAGTTTCATATTTGAACCCACCTGCAACAAATCACAGATCTGCCCCACCCCACCCCACCCCCCAAAGCAATTTCTTTTTTCAATCGGTGAACATCGCTAAAAAGACTGAAGGAAAAAAAAAAAAGAATAAACAATGTATATTAAGTTTTCAGATGGGTGAGAAAGAAGCAATAAAATTAAACATCACAGTGAAAAAAGTCCTCCAATCACATATACAATTCCCCAAAAAAAAAAAAAACACTATGCTATAGAAAAACTTCAAAGCCGTACACCTCAGTGAAGACAAAAGCTACTCAATTCCAACATAAAACCCAACCAAATCTTAAACCTCAAATTACCATATAGCTGATTAAGCAATTCACTTGAAATGGTGGTCCTATACTAATAAACAGGATATTAATGAAGGTTCATTTTTTACAGATTGTCAATGTAAAGCTTCTTCATAGAACAAGATCCAATAAGGACAAGTCTACAGAATTTTAAGTCTGCAGTATATTATAGATCCTCGCCAAAGTTAGCATCAACAGGAAGAAAACATCTCAACCTTAAGGCAAAGAAAAATAACTTACTTTCAAAGAAATTTTCGTAATTATCAGACTTAAAAGAAGTGGTCTTTGCAGCAAATTGTCCAATCTGAATCCCCTGAAGCAACTAAGCCACCGCCATTTGTGCTTATGGACTCAGCACATGAGTTTCGTCTATGTGGCGATAATGGCTTCTCTATTCTCAGAAATGTAGATTCACAGTCCAGCACAGGAGATTTGAGACCACTGTTTCTCAACATATCGCATTCTTTGTTTGCACCAGATTCAATCCCTGGATAAGCCCAATATATTGGTTAGTAGTTTCATATTTGAACCCACCTGCAACAAATCACAGATCTGCCCCGCCCCTCCCCCCAAAGCAATTTCTTTTTTCAATCGGTGAACATCGCTAAAAAGACTGAAGGGAAAAAAAAAATAGAATAAACAATGCATATTAAGTTTTCAGATGGGTGAGAAAGAAGCAATAAAATTAAACATCACAGTGAAAAAAGTCCTCCAATCACATATACAATTCCCCAAAAAAAAAAAAATCACTATGCTATAGAAAAACTTCAAAGCCGTACACCTCAGAGAAGACAAAAGCTACTCAATTCCAACATAAAACCCAACCAAATCTTAGACTTCAAATTACTATATAGCTGATTAAGCAATTCACTTAAAATGGTAGTCCTAAACTAACAAACAGTATATTAATGCAGGTTCATTTTTTACAAATTCTCAATATAAAGCTTCTTAAAAGAACAAGATCCAATAAGGAAAAGTCTACAGAACTTTAAGTCTGCAGTATATTATAGATCCTCGCCAAAAGTTAGCATCAACAGGAAGAAAACATCTCAACCTTAAGGCAAAGAAAAATAACTTACTTTCAAAGAAATTTTCGTAATTATCAGACTTAAAAGAAGTGGTCTTTGCAGCAAATTGTCCAATCTGAATCCCCTGAAGCAACTAAGCCACCGCCATTTGTGCTTATGGACTCAGCACATGAGTTTCGTCTATGTGGCGATAATGGCTTCTCTATTCTCAGAAATGTAGATTCACAGTCCAGCACAGGAGATTTGAGACCACTGTTTCTCAACATATCGCATTCTTTGTTTGCACCAGATTCAATCCCTGGATAAGCCATTTGATGCTTGTCGGAGCATCCCTCAGCATCAACTTCTTCATCTGACAAGCACCTGCAACAATCAAATCTATCCATCTCATGCGTCTGGCTCACCAGTCCATCCATCCATGATATCCTCATCTGGGATACTGACAGATTCTCTGACATTGAATCAAAGACAGAAGAAGTTTTGCCCAAACTTTTTTGAGGAAGTTGGTTGAGGTCAATAGAATCAGAATGTGAAGCCAAGTCAGTGAAATGCATATCAAAACCACTTGCATCACATATTGACATCTTACTTCTAGGTGACAGGCTCGCTCCATGTAGTATATCTGTCACCAACTCAAATTCCGATTTGAAGTGAATTCTTTGATGTTCATAGTCATCAAAATGCCTTTCTGAGCTTGAATTTGAATCTGGTGTCTGAATGACATTTCCACTACTTAAAGAACCAACAGACACTGCAGCACTATCTCCAATCTGATTGTAACTGTAGTCTTTGTCCTCTCTTGAATTGATAGTCTTATCCATAGGTGTGCAATGAGAAGTATCAACTAAGAAAAACTCATCTATTTTTCTGGAAGAAGGCCCTGAAAATGCCTGCTGCTCGGGAACTCTTCTTGGAGAACGCCACACAATCCTTGTTTTCCCAGTACTTTCTGTATCACCTACATTACTACTGACCCCGTAGCTATCGAAATCAGATGCATTACCACTTAATGTTGAAGGAGAAGATCCTAAATCAAGCAACACAGAATCATTCCCAGGTATCTTCCTACAGCGTTCCAACTTCTTTTCCAAATCACTATCATTTCCCTCGTACTCCTCATCACATGGAGGCAATAGCCAGAGCAATGAAGCTTCGGCAGGCATCGGAATCAAAGACGCCTGAGATTCGTCAATCACTTTCCCCTCATTACTTCCATATTCAAAAAGATTTGCGTTTTCACCACCTACAGTGAGAATCCCTCTCGATCTACACTTTCTCTTATCCGTAACCCCCGAGACAAGGTGCCCAGCACCATAACAAATAGGTGTCACAGCTGCTGCGGAAACCAACACATTTGAGTGAGACCCACATTGAATCTCAGGAGACACAGAGGCCTCAACAGGAGGAGTTTTAGTAGCAGTACTACCATTACTATCAATTGTTCTTGAAGCTGAGTCTTCTCTTATATTCTTATTATCATGTAAATTTGCAAATTCTAAACCAGAGCCACATACTGCTTTTCCTGCAGGTGTAAAATTCTCAGTACTATTTAAACTATTGCTATTTTTAGATATTCGGAATAGCTAAATGGTTGGCTTACCTGGGCCACTTTCCTGCAAGTTCTTTAGCTTTTCCCCAAGTTCTTCGAACCCTTTCTTCAGTGTATTCACTGGATTGCGAGGACCAGAGGAAAGGGTTGATTTTTTATTGATGTTCCTCCGATACAGGAGAGAATGGTTCTTCCGTTGCTTCTGAGAAATGAGCTTTTTGCGAATATCATCTTCCTTAGATCTGAGCACCATTGAACTACCTCGTCCAGCTGTTGCTGATTTTTGGGCGGTACAGTTTGTAAATTTGAATTGAGGTTTCGGCTTTTTTGTAGGAAGGGTTTTTGTTGAAGAAGAACAGCCTTCGGAAGCTTCAACGGAAACAGAAGAAGAAATTGTGCGGTTTTTGCAATTCTTTCTGAGAATCAGAACTTGGCCATTCAAATCATGAAGAGGACTTCTGTTCCCAGAAATGTCTTTCTTCTTATTCGCATGTTTCTTCTTTCTACTATCTTTTTCCATTTTTGGATCTTTCCGGAGTGATTTCGTGACTTAATAATTGAAATGAAATGAACTGAACTGAACTGAGCAACAACTTCTGGAAGTTAATGTTGAATTCAAAACAGTGAAATGGAGGGCCAGATTTCTGCTCAGTTCTTTTTGTCATTTTCTTTTGGAAAATTGCAGTAGCAATCCCTAATGTTTTTATTTTTTACAAAACTTAACCTTAACCTTCATTTTATGCCAGCGAAAATTCCTAACCTTTTATAAATATTCACCTGAGTTCCAACTGAATGAAAACCGTCCAAAGCATCGCCAGTTGACCGGAAAATTTAAGGAATCAATATCCAATAAAACAGCCTAAAACAGCGTCCAAAAGGGTATCAATATCCAATAAAATCGTCATGATAGCAAATAGTTCAAGGAATTTTCGTCTTCAATTGACGGTGTTTTGGACGGTTTCCATCGAGATAGACCTTAGATGCATATTTATGAAAAAATAGGGATCTTCGTTAGCACAAAATGAATGTCAGAGTAAAGTCTGCAAAAAATAAAAATGTTTGAAATCGCTGTTGCGATTTTCCCTTTTCTTTTTGAGGGTTTCTTCTTTATGGCCCAATGGGTAAATTTCACGAATAGCCACTAAACTTTGTACTAGTATCATATTGGTCACTAAAATTTATAATTGAACTTTATAGAATGTTTTATTCGAATCATTTCCTACATGTTCACATGCCATGCATAATCTTTATCTTTACTCTCTTAAAAGAGAGGCTTTTGTTACTATTCATTTATATCACAGTCGTTTTCACACTTGAATCCAATTTATCCGATTTCGTTACAGTAGTTTCTCCTCTTTTTTTTCCTCCTTTACATTGTTTTCTCACTTTACCCTTGAAAATCCCACCTTACACTAATTAACACATTGAGGGCTTAATG